GAACTTTATGACTTACCATGAAGACAAGATCATATTTACTAATCTTCATTTGATTAATAGCACCAATTCCATCTACTACAATGTTGAACCAAATTTTTGGTATACCAAGTCATCATCTACTAGAAGAACTTTTAGAGAAATATACCAGACTGGTACAAATGTACTATGGTGAACACGCATACTATTAGAAGCATATTGTGTAGTATTTTCAATAAGTAGAGCATTTGCGTTTGAAGCGGAGATGATATTTGATGACGACGAAGCATGCGATTGTTCAGCTTATATACACCAAATGTGTTGTTGGTTAGTGGTCACAAAAATGGTAACCAGTTAACTATAAATATTAAGCATACATACATATCTAAATTTGGTGCATTTATATTTCTTTCAACAGTAGGTGATGTCACAAAATAATTTATGAATTGTGGTCAATACCATGTAGTGAGCTGACGGTCACATGGGAAGTTGCATTTTGTGCATCCTGCATGTTAATTTTATAAAGTTGCTGCATGTTAATTTCATCATGTTGAAACCATGATTGTTCGTCTGATGCTTCGATCCTGACTCTCTTATTTTCAGGTGATGAACTAATCAAAGTTGATAATGTTGTTTGGTCGTTATTATTTTTATCATTTGTTGATGAAATTTCACATTTCCTTTTTTTTGTTGCTAAATATTTACAACACATTTAATTATTAGTTTACATTTACACAGAAAAAATTACGACAGATTAGCTTAGAGACTTAATTATTAGTTATTTTATATTAACAATCCCTTTTTTGATGATTATCTTCAAAAGAATTAAATGTATTTGAGCCTTCGTTTGCATCATAATCTTCATCAGAAAGTATTTCATCAGAAAGTTCGGTATATCTATGTTATTGGTAATAAATTCAACATATATTTCTGATATACTCTTAAACTTAGCTAAAATTTTGTTCATTGCTGGGCGCATGTCCGGATCAGAAGACCAGCATTTTTATAAAGGTTTAAATAATCCTTAGGCGTGCTTTCAATGGATTTTTCTCTTTCATTATTTGAAATTGCTTGGCTTAAATGCACAAAAATGTAATTATTGAATGGAGGAATTCCGCTTGTAAGTTCCCAGAGTACTATACCCAAACCGTAAATATCAGATTTCTCTTTGCGTTCAATTTTTATTCCATGTTGAATAAAGCATTGCGGTTTTGTGTATGCTCACATGCCAACTATATTATTACCTGCACCTGAAATCAAAGCAGTGGTATTATTAAATCGGCTTGATATTCCAAAGTCCGTGATTAAGGCCTTTCCATTATCAATCTATATATTCTTAGAATGCTATTGTGATTTAAAATAAACAATTATAGACTTAAAATTCAGTGCAGAAATTAGAGCAATTAAATAATCAAAACTCACTAGATCCCGATGAAAGATACCATTATTGTGCAAATGTTCTAATCTCAAAGTAATTTCCATAGCAATTTTGATGAGTTCAAACCATGAAATTTTATACTGGTCTCTGGTTTGTTTTCCTTGTAAATATTCTCATAGATCACCACCATTAGCATACTGTAATATTAGCATAAAATGACCTGATAATGGGTTTAAAAAGTTCAATGAATAATGAATAATGCTACTATATAAAATTAAAATTTAATATAAACCTGATTTTTAAAATTATACATATTTTAATTATACCTCTAGAATAACCATATAGCTTGA